TCTTCTCTTCACACTTTATCCAAGTCTAAATCTGTACAATCCAACCTACTACTTCTACATTCTAAGATCTCAGAATGTTTAGAACATTACCTAGCCCTGTTTACTACTCAGTAGTTTGTCCATAGTATCAAGCAGGGATAGTCTCAGCTAAGTTCACAACTGAGGGCATAAGTCTGTCCTTGTCAAAAGAGAGAGGTTAATAAGGAAATGTTAGTACATATACTTACTCTCTTAGACAATAAGACTGTACAAGCTGTACATTCTCTTCAGAACAAGTAGCAGTTCATTTGAGAATGTTCTAGACACTAGCTTCAGGTCTCTGTCCTCTTAGCTCCCTTCTCAGGATCCCCCCAGATCTGAACCATGACTCTAGTAGACAGTAGATGTACTAGTTTGTACATTAATAAGGCTTTCATACAGGAACACCACCTCCCTACTTGATACATTCTACTTCTGATCCTAATATACAATGTGGACAGAACTCTGAACCAGAATAGTCAGATCACTGAGTTTGTCCAACTACAGATGACTATTCAGGATTATGAGGAAAGTATTGAGTTCAGAGTCACTAACCTTAGAAAGACAGACATCTTTATTAGATTCAAATGGCTTAAGACTCACAACCCTACTATTGACTAGTTAGAGTAGACACTTGTGTTCAATTAGTGTCCCAAGTCTTGTAGCTACCTTACACTACTGTTCTGAGTGAATGTAAATGCTTCTAATGTTACTAACAGTTCTAACAAAGGTGACTAGTTGTTCTTCTTCAACTAGGATAGATATGTGGATACATATTCTAGTCAAGGTAGAATAGAGTCAATTCAAAGGATGTCTAAGATGGAACCAGTCTAGAACCCTCTCAGAACAACTCTACTCTAGAATACACATAGACCCAGCCTGCTGGATTTCATCTGAGAGTTCCCTAAAGTCTTTAGTAAAGAGGAATTTAACTAACTTCCTGAACACTGTCTCTAGGACTATACAATTGAATTGACTAAGGGTTTCCAACTTAAGGATTGTAAGGTCTACCTACTCAACAGAGACAAGTAGGAGGTGCTCAACAAGTTCCTTCAGGAAAATTTTTAGAACAGTCAGATCCAACCCTTAAAGTCCCTTATAGCCTCCCCTTTCTTCTTCATCAAAAAGAAAGATAGGAAGCTCTACCTAGTCTAGGATTATTGTTGTCTTAATAAGGGTACTGTCAAAAACAAGTACTTACTCTCTCTGATTCAGGAGCTCATTAATAAGATGTATACATTTAGGGTTTTTACTAAGTTGGATGTTTGATAGGGATACAATAATATTTGGATCTAAGACAGAGATGAGTAGAAGGCTGTATTCTGAACCAATTACAGATTGTACAAACTGACTGTAATGTTCTTCAGACTAACTAACTTGCTTACAACATTCTAGTTATTCATGAATCACATCCTTACAAATCTGATTGACTCAGAGTACATTAGTGTGTATCTGAAT